GTCAGCGTTGATGTTAACCAGGAGGGAGCACAGAACTATGAAAGTGAAAAGCATTGTAATATTGACAATTTCGTGCATCTACTTTTATAGAGCGCTGGCAACATATTTTTTACCGTGACGTTCCATTGAACTCACCTCAAATTCATTTCCATCATTGTATGCTCTTTTTCAGCAATTCATTCGAATGCCACGTGGTCCGCGTTTCAGAGAAGCGGGCTTCCGGAAATCGAAGAAACAACGACCTCATAGGTTTAATGCTATCAATATTCGCCTGTTCTGAACTGTCATTGGAAACCCTTCATTAGGAGAGATCCACTGTAAGTATGTTCTGTAATGGTGGAACAGTGCCTAGCCTTCGAAGGAGATGAAAGCATTAATAAGGCGTTGATAAACTGGTATTGCAGAAGAATCAGATTCTTCAGAAAACATTTCAAACCTGATTCTGCTCAGATAGTATTTATACGAGAATGATATCCTTGCCGGGGGTCTGTGCTCACGGCGTTCCCAAACTTTTCGCTTCTTTTTCCAGTGACGCGTTTTTGATGGGCTACTGTTTATGACTGAGCGCCTGCTGCCTGTTACAATTAGTCGCGGAAATTGTCTTTGAGCGAAGTGAACATGGTATGGTGGCGGTAAGGGATCACCGTTATGGCTTGAATTTTTCCACAGCAATCCCAGGTGGATTTTTGAACCATAGGCTGAGGAAGAGAGGAGGACGGTGTATGGTTAAGCAGCTTTCCCGGACTCATATGCTTCTTTATTTGAGCATGTGCCAGCACATTCGAGAGGATGTTACAATAAAAAGCCAACCAATGCTTGAAATGAAAAGAAAACAAAGCAGTGAAAAACACAAGAACAAGTGAAAAGATTCATGGAAAAATGATTGCTTATGGACAAGGAACGATGAGCAGGGAGCGAGCCGGATTCTCAGATGAAGTAGCCGCTACCTCGCTGCGACTAGTTGTCCAAGGCACGCTTGATAAAATCGTTTTCTCAAAAGGCAGGCTCAGTCAACGTTCCGTGTCAGAGGAAGTTTGACATCCTCGTCCCGAACATGACGTCATTGGAAAGCAAAACCGCTTCGTATTCGCGTTAAAGGTGGCGGCATAGCATGCCTCTTTTTTGAACGTCTCACAAGAAACCTGTTTCTTGCACAGTTCCAATTTATCAGCGCCTGATTACTACATTCATCTCTTTCAGACACTGCTCCAGCACCATGACATTGCAAAGCAGGTGGTTATGAACCACCAATGAAAATGCTCCTTCCATCCGCGAGGCATTTGGACCTAGCCCGGCGAGTGTTTCAGAGCCACACACATTGATTCTCCTATCTGAATGGGATAACACAGTCCATCCCATAGGCTAGAGTTTCCGCTGAACGCTACACAACCTAAAAGCTAGAGGGTTTTCTAGGTGGATTTCTATTGCACTGCACAACAGGCGGATTTTGAGCGATCAATGGACAGAATTCGCACTTTGTTTCCATCTCTGAATAACGCCTCTCTGGAACGCAGACCACGTGGCGTTGTGACAACTAACAAAAAAGCTCAACACAATTGATAAACATGAATTCTGAGGTAAATCTAATGGAACATCAGGATAAAAATTCACCGCCAATGCTCTATAAAAGGAGGTGCACGAATTTGTAAATATAGCCATGTTATTCACTCTTACAGTCCTGTGCTTCCTTCTGGTCAACGTCAACGGTGATTGTGAGTGCAACCATTTCTCCGCCACAGCTCTCACCTCTCAGTCCATTACGTGACTGGAGAGCAACAACACTTAAAGAATTGCAATTAGAATTATCTTTTCAGCGGGCTGCATCGACTACCATGGATTGAGTGAGTATTACATTCAGCGCAACCGACAATTCAACCCTAGTCTGGTGGGTATCTTTCCACATCGCTCATATTAACTTTTTCTCCGAACGGGATTCGGAAGAACCTTGCGTCAAGTAAATTGTTCGATGAGCGCTGAGCACTCAATGTTCTAATTATAAGACAAACTGTGCTCATCAGTGAAACTTTCGCATGTAATATTGAACCATTTTTCTGCCTTCAGGTTTGGGCCAACGATCTTGCAAGTGAGGCCTGTGACGTAGCAAAGGGTGAAGCCAATGTATTTGCAGGACATTTCAAAGTTGAGGCGGAAAAGTCGGTGTTTGATCAGATGAAATTTCTTCTGCATTATCTACGAAAGTTTGCTGTTTGTTAAGGAAATTCCCGACTGATCAAAAACTGCCCTTCAAATTGATGGCCCGACAAACCCTCTTCAGATTGCGAGATTCTGCTTTCAATGTGAGTCAGTATAGTGTTATTTAACGAATTAGTGACTTGGCACTAGCTGTGGGACAGCGCAAGGCCTTCTCTGCATCGTAGAGTTCGAGACGGAGCTAAATTTTTGGGGGATGTTCAGTCTTCTTTGGTTCTGGATATGCGCGATAGACGGGAATTCTCTGATTATCATGCTGCTCCTGTTCTTGGCATACATTGTACCCTTATTTTCTGTCCATTCTCTTCCTTATTGATGGCATTTAGGTGGCTCGAATGAGGTCGGTGCGACCAGAATTTGGATGCAACAGTCACTACAAAGACAATATCATGAAAGTGGTGTGCCTCTACAGGGATGAAGAATGAGGTTGCTGTTAAATCCACGAAATGAATGAAACTTTCACAGATGGTTTCCCTAAAGAAGATTGTGCCATATGAAATATTCACGCAAGCTGCAGAATCTCTGTTTGCGCTCTCTGTCCTGGCATCAGCAATGACTGGTCTTGTGCTATTATTTTTGGGAATGAGACCGCCATGTTTAAAATGGAAGGCCTCCGCTACGAAAAGTCGCCAACCCTTACCATCACACAACTTCTGCGTGGTGTTCAATGCATGGCTCTTCACGAAGTTGAGATCGATTGATTCCGAGTGAGATTGTTCCTGTACACCGATGGCAAAATTTTTTTACTAGTGACCAGACACGGTTCGCTAAGCGGGCTGAATACAAAATGG